TCCAATACCATTTGCTCGATAACCGTTTATAGAATTATCAAAGTCAGTCATGGTGTTCAACACTATACCAGCAACACCGGCAGTTTGAGCATCAGCAGTAACACCCCATAAGAACGTGCCACCTGCTGGTAACCAAAGACTATTTTCACTTACAGACATACTGTTATTTGGAATATTTACACCAAGTTCAACACCACCCCACCAAGGATCCATGTCAGTAATATTAAGGTTACCATTCTCAATATACCATTTCGTTGGAACAGTTTGTTTATTCAATACATTAATATCACCTGTCGAGTTAGATTGCAAATTAATAACTTCTACACTGGCTTTAACAGCGCCAGCACATCCATACAAAGTTTGTTCTATTCCTCTTTCAGTAATATTAGGTGGGCCAAATAATTCCCAACATTTAACACCAACTATTTTATTAGCAATTTTATCTTGGCCACCAAAGCCTGAACATAAAATATTAGCAGTTGTTATATTTGTTGTATTAATGCTATAAGGAAGACTATTAGTAATGGATTTAGGCTCCAAAATAGTAAGATCACTAAACTCTTTTGATTCGATAAAAGTCCCATTAAGAGTCATATTCATTTGCTGCCTAATAATGAATTGTAATAACTGACTGTATCGAATGCTCCTTGATAAAAGATCAATATTTTGGCCTTGATCTCCAAGTGGATGTAATGCAGGAGGTTGTACGTCGGATTGGTTAATGACTAGTTTAGCAGCCCAACTAAACGAACCATTTTGCCAAGTGATTTTAGTAATATTAGTTGATTTACAACTGACATATGGTTGTAGCCATAGGCCTTTAATTGACCAGTTATATTTCTTATTGACATTTTGCTTAGGTTGGATAGTATGACTTGCTAGAAAACCACCATTATCATGATCTACGATCATCGTATCAACAATACCGTAACCAGTCTGTGTACTTGTTACTACGCCCATCATAAAATCATATGTAGGATATGTGACATTATCATTACTACCAGTCTTTAACAGACGAAAATTCAATGCATTATTACTATACGTCTTATTAAAGTCTGCTACGTATGAGTCATCAGTATGTACTCTATCTCTCATTCCGGGACATGGTTGCCAAGTTATTGCCCCACATATTCTAATTTGTGATAATTGTTTTGGAGAGAAAGTGTTATTAATAGCACGACTTAGTATATCTGGCTCAACAACATTAGTTTCTGTTGAAGTTGTGTTGAAAGTTACGCTGCAAGTTTGAATCCCAAGCGGTGCAATTGCGGATACACCAAACAATACTAGTAAGCATAATCCAATAAGTATATATATTACGCTACGTTTGTATGTTCCTTCACCCCATATTTTAATTCCTGTTAAAACAGGTTGACCACCTGCACCATAAAAACTAAGCATACTATGTTCTGTTAATTTACTTAATGCGGTCCATTCAAAAGCCGACATTCTATTACTAACGTTCATCATTATTAGGATGGCACCAACTCCGGTAATGATAAGAGGTAATAAAAAGTTAACCCCTCCGATAACTGCCGCTAATTGACCGGCACTCAAATTGACTATCAAATTTGTCATTTTTTTTATCGTAAAAAAAAAAACTCGTATGATTATAAACCTTTATTTTAATGTGTTTAATGTAAATTTAACGTTAATGCTTGTTTAAGACTCATACGAAAAAATTTTTAGATAAATGCTTTTTTACGCATGTTTCAATAATTAAAAACATTAAATTAAATTAATTCTTCAAATATTGGCGCAGTACACTAGTCCTAAAATGTGATGGTTAAATTGCACCATGTTTCATGTAATGTAACATTAAAATCTTTAATGCATAATTGTTAATAATAATTTGCTATTCTTAGGAATTCCCGAAAGGTTATTTGATACATTATAATTGGC